GATACAGAAATGAGGTTATGTGATATACCTTTAACAATAAGTGCTTCTATTTTAATATCTCGTCCTTGACATGTAGCTTTTACTGTACCTACCTTATTTGCTATCAATACCTCACCATTCTTTGCAGTTCCAATTTTCACTGTGTTGATTTGTTTTACATCTACCATATATTCAACCATTTCTTCCATTACCATGTGTTGTGTACATCCAGAATCCAGAATGAATGTCTGTACATTGAGAGTAGATATGTTACACATAGTTACACCACTTAATGCAATGAAGGCTAATTCATTTGCTTGATTCGCCTGTGATTGCTTACCACCTTGATTTCGTCTACTATGATTTGTACCACTTTGTATATATGTACTTCTTGAATGCCCTTGAAAGTTGCCTCTTGGATTGTGACCTCTATTCCCACTCTTGAATTGTTGACACTCTGATATCTTATGTCCTGGTTTGTGACATTTATAACAAATTATTGGCTGATTGGCTTGAAATGACATTTCATTAATATTAGCTGGTTTACCTTGTTTTGATTTAAGTTTCATTTCTTCATCTAATAGTCTGGATTTTACAAAGTCCATTTTAATAGTTGTATTCATTGTTTCTATAGCTGTGATGACTGATTCATACTCTTCATTTAATGATAGTAATAAATGGCATACTTTGTCTTCTTCTTCTAGTTTTGAACCTGCATTTTCTAAATCTCTTATAAGGGTGTCAAACAACAGAAAATGATCTTCTAATTTTTCATTTCTTTTCAGCTTCAATGTTAACAATTTACGTTTCAATGTTAATTTTGTAAACACACTTTTTCTCTCAAATATGTTCTCTAGGGCTTTAACCATTTCTTTGGTGGTATTTGCATCTTTAAACTAAATCCAAGTGTTTGTCTGTTAAACATTGTACTATGATGCTTTTACCTTTGGAATCTTTTAGTTTAAACTCTGCTTTCTCTTTTGGTTCACTGTAGTCTTGCTCAGTTTTCTCCAATACATCTAATAATTGTCTTTCTTCCAGTAGTATGGTTACTCTGAATTTCCAATTGTTAAAATTTGTAGCATTTGTCAGCTGAGGAACATTGACTATTGCATTAGCCATTTTATATTTCACACTTTCTTTTATGCTTCTTTTTTTTTGTTTGTCTGGGCCCATAACCTATTAGAATTTGTTGTTTCCCAGTGAGGTAATACAGAGATAGCAGTGAATTATTTGATTACTTTATTTTACAAAAGTACTAAAAACTAAACATGTGCTGCTACATTCTAGAAAAATATATATTTACAACTACTGACATATGACAACCGGAATCACTTAAGACATTGTGAGCCAGTGTTGCCAAGTACAAAATTCCAATAACTGCTTCCCCTTCAACCAATGGACTCTTTGCTTCACCACAATACTAAAAGATATCATTAAGGTTAATTTCCATTATTAAATGATACAAATAACTCGTCTTAAACCAAACTAAACATGGAAAAGCAATGGTAAATATTCGAATGTTATGTTTGTTTTTGTTTATACCATTTATATCGGCCATGACACTGCAATCGACCTGCCCTCTACATTCAGTTTCAATCGCGAATAAATGGGTTTTGTCACAGAGGTGGCTGTGGTTTTGTATTCTTGTGTACTCCTGTGACGTAACTCAAGCATCCCCACCCCAGTCGGAAGAGGCAACCGGAGTTAAGGTCAATTCAGACACATCAGTCACGTCTCGTCACCATCTCGTCACAGTGATTGCGCCGAATCGAACAATCCGTCATACAAAATATTCTTTAATACAAATATGGCACCAGCATTCACACTCATCAGTTGACGAACAGTTTGCCAGCGGTCAGATAGTTGATAGTTCTGTGACCAAACAGGACCGGTTCGGTACCGTGACTATGACGTGACTGATGTGTGTGAATCGACCTTAAGTCTACGAACCGTGCTTTTTGACAAACTCGAAGTGGCTGGAAAATACTATACAACCAAGCATACGTGCTCTTAGTCAATATTAATGTAAACAAAAGTAAATAAAATAGAACTATTATTTATTTATTGTACAAAATAGAAAAAATTATTTATTGTACAAAATAAAAAAGTGGGAATAAATTCTACAAAATTAAGAAGTCAAAGTGAGTTTAAATAAGAATAAAACACAGCAAGTTCCTTATGTATTTACAACATTTACATAATTCGATAAATACATTTTAATGAACAACTTACTTCAACAGGGTTTCAATTCGGTAAAAAAAATGGTAAGCATTTTGAATAAACCTTTGTGCAGTTTTATTACCTTGTAATCTGGGAACAGCATCCTTACTAATCTAAAAAATATTAACTTTAAAAAAAACTTTTTAAAAAAACATTTTATCATATTTATTAAGAAAAACACATTAGCTGATGGAACAAATGGAAAACTTTGACTATCCATAATAATAAAATTTAAAATATAACTAACTAATTAACTGAATAGAACTAACAAAAGAATTAAACAAAGATAATAAAACTATATTAAATTAAATAAACAATGCGAATAATACAAATATTTACTACAATATTTTAAATTGTAACAATTCAAATATATTTTAAATATACATGAAAAATTTGATGGGTTTAGTATACACTTCCACTGTTTAGAATCATTCTTCTTTTTTTCAAAGAAATAAGTCTGCAATAGTAGTATACTTGAGCTATTTATACTGAGAAGTAATAATTGTTGTGTTGTAGGTTTCCTACAATGAGTCTGTCAAAATATGCCCTAGCTAAGCGAATAGACAATAGATATTTAAGTAGATACTTAAATATCTACTAACCTTGACTAAATCTGACAAAACTCCATACAACACAGAACATTTCTGGTGACATTTGTCGCCAAGTGACGTCACACGACTGATCGCGTGCGCGTGGGTTTATCTGTAGTTTATAGTATCATGCAAAAAACTGACATTTTGAACGTCCAACTCTCCAATGACGTCACGACTTATGCGCAATATCTTATCTTCTTATCATAGTCACAGAATAATAAACAATCAGAAGGGCCTCTCTCAGATGCCGCCTTTGAAGTTTTTCAGCACGCGCGCCATGTTTTAGGAGGACACAGACATATGATTTGTGTGGTTATGTAATTGTTTATATTTATGTTTAATTATATTATATTTATGTTATTATATTTAACAATGTTAATACAATTATATAGTATGTCTATGACTGCCGTAAGTCAAATAAACCTGGTTAATTTTTCCATGCACACCACATAAACAACACTAATTTCTTTAAAAATCCTCTTAAAACATGGCGGAACGTCTGCGCGGAGGAGATGCGAGTACTTAATTTTCCGTGGAGAGTGGGTATTCTGTTTGTTTATTATTCTGTGTCATAGTCACAGAATAATAAACAATTATTATTCTGTGTCATAGTATCATGGATCAAATGACCAGAGATTTATAGGATCACTGCAAATGACAAAATTATTTGTTTTCCCGAAGTTATCGTCCATCTTTGAAATCTTCAGCGCTCCCTGTCGGAATTGTCTATCGCGAATTGGAGTTACTGAAAAAGAAGAAGATTCGAAACTACTGGTGATTGTGATGTCATTTGTGTGATGTGTGAACAAGGCTGCCAGGTCTAGGGATTTATCCCGAATCTAGGGATATTTCAGTATAAAAGGGACAAAGGGATTTTTTTGATATTTAGTGTAAAATCTAGGGATTTTTGACCGGCTCAAATATTTACCTATATAGGCCTATTATAATAACATTTTCTTTAATTCAGGTATAAAACGCCTTCGTATTAACAGTATTATAAGCGATTTTTCATTACAAATAATTATTAAACTACTAGTAAACTACTTCAGGATTCTATTATCAGATGTCGCTACTGTCCACGTCCTTGGAATCTTTATTTTATGCTAAATAGATTTCTGCCAAAAATAGATTCCTATATATTTTCAGAAAGGAGAAAGCAATTCTGGAGCAGAAATTAGGAGATTTACAAAAATCTTAGGTTTTATAAAATAAATAATTAGGGGATTTACAGTAGGAATCGGGTGAATTACAGGATTCGTGGAAGTATCTAAATAAAATTCTATGTTTCACCGTCTCATTTCTCTTCAAGTTGTATTTTGTATTAATTTTATTAAGTGAATAATACATAATATACTCCATTCGCTTAGCTCGGGCATATTTTGACAGATTCATTGTCGGAAACCTACAACACAACAATTCCTACTTCTCAGTATTAATAGCTCAAGTATACTTACTATTGTAGACTTCTTTCTTTGAAAAAGAAAAATCATTCTAAATAGTGGAAGTGCATACTAAGCCATCAAATTTTAGGTAGTATATATTTAAAAAATATATTTTAGTTATTATAATTTATCAACTATTTATTGTATGGTGCAGATAAATAAATATTGATTGTCTGTAATTCGCAAAGTTCTATTTGATTTACTATTTTATTTATTATTATTATTATTGGCTATAATATTAATAGTAAACGTATTAATAGTACGTGTGCTTGGTTGTATAGTAATTTCCAGCCATTTTTAGTCTGTCAAAAAGTAACTAACTTCGCAAAAAAAAAATAATTACTATAATAAATTCACTAGACAGTTCGGACTGGGAATAAAAATAATGTTAAATTTATTCAAATCATCGCTAGTGTACCGTGTAAAAATGTAATGTTTTTTAAATAAAGGGATAAAACAACAATTATTTTTTTATATCCATGTTATTATATTAGGCAACCATCAATACATGCCATCATTTTATTCATAATTAGGCAACCATATATACATTTATTCGAATCTAGGGATTTCTAGGGATATTTTCATGTTCAAGTTAGGGAGGACAAAAATTTTCACCTGGCAACCCTGTGTGTGAATGTGAACTTATATTATTTATCTATGCTTATAATTTGTAATTTTAAGTTTAAAGTATATAGTGCACAACTCTTTTAATTTATGTGTTGTATAACTTGATTTAATTCTGAAAAATTCGTGTTGACTGACCAGAGTCCACGAATATATAACTTTACGGTAAGTATAAATTATGATTCAAACTATATAGCTCCACACCCTTTTTATCAATTACAATCCATAAATTTTTCGAAGTATACTTACATTTTTCTCATTTGGAGAAATTACAAACATGATTAAATGTTTATATTGTAATTAAATACCAACAATGTCAGTTCCCAGTCATTATTTCCTATATTGTGACTGCATATTTTTATTTAATTTGCATTAGTTTGTACAATAGTCTTATAATTGCAATTCTTATTGTTGCTGCTAAGAATCTTCAAATAGTTGGGTGTTGTATCATATCGTTTTAGATTTTATGTAGTAACTGACTGCAATCATTCATTTATACACATCAAGCATTTTAATACCTAATTGTTCGATTTTTTTCATTTCATATAGATTTGCAGGAAGTTTTTACTTCAAATACAATGTTTAAGTAAGTGGAACCATAATTGATTACAATGAAAATTACATTTGAATGCTGTTTAATGTTTCTACTGAATTAAATACCTCACAAGAAAACAGTTTTACAACTTTTTTTAAGTTTTTACTATTATTATACAGTATGTGGTTAAACAGTAACCTCTGCTAAAATAGATCTTTATTAAAAAGAACATTTAGTGGTATAAAGAATTTTTAAATAATTAAAATTATGTACCTATTACTAAAATTGAAAGTACAGTGCAATAAGTTGCAATACCAAGTTTTGCGGCTAAGTCCACAAAAAATGAGCATTTTTGAGTTATTCTGGCTTAGTAAATAATTACCCCAAGGGTATCAGCAAAAACAAACAAAGAAAAAGATAGAGAGATAGGGAGAAATATACTTTATTGGTACTATGTACCAAAAGGCCTTTGTCTGAAGTCTTTCAGCCAATTTATAGAATTACTATAGATATATTAAAATATTTGGTACTAGTGTAAAAAGAGGGTATAATGTCTATAGATATGTAATGTATAACAGTGAATTCTGTTTCACTTACTGATGATTGTACAATAAATTTTATTGTCTGGAAAATTTTATTTTTTACGTAATTTCCATTTAAAATATGTCTTATTTTTAAAAGCCACCACCATTCTCTGCCATTTTATACCATGAAACAATAAGAAATGACACTAATGACACATATGCTCAAGTCAATGATGTAATATACTAAGTGTTGATATTTTTACATGTAGCTGATCAACGATGGAACTGAGGTCACATTATCAGCTGCAATGTCCATCATGAATTTGACATGTGATTACTATGAATATAGTTATCACCAATATTTTTTAAATTACAATGTTGCCTATCCTGATCCCCAAACAGTATCTAAATCAGGTTGAAGATTGAAGGTTGAAGATAAATACACGGGATAACCCCATTAACAGTTTAAATTACAATATGCAATATCACAGTTTTAAACTGGCAATGCAGCGCTAAATGTGTAAATATTAAATTTACAGAGTAAATCAATTATATCGAAAGTATAAAGTAGAAAGTTAACTAAGTAATCTTAGCGCATAGTGAAAAATAATAATCAAAACATTCAAAGTGTGTTCAAAATTGGCAAAAATACCAGGTAAGAATAAACACATAAGTAATAAAAACGTCACCAATATTGGGTCGAACTTGATTGAACCTTGATGGATTTGGAAGCGGTGTTGCCAAGTCGACAGAGAAGTGAAGTAACGAGGGAGGTTCGAAATAGTATATACTGCTCAATACAATTATTAACATAAATAAATAAAATAAATTAAGACGTTACACTGAGAAGGGTTAAGCTTCTGAGGAGACGATCCGGGCGAGACCTTTATCGCGGTGAAACAAAATATTTTTAATGAGCAGTGAAGATAAGGACAAATATCACTTTCGAATTTATATTTCAAAAGCGACGGTACCACAACAGACGAAAACGACAAGAAAAGAAAAGGAGATCAAGAGGAAGAATTACAAAGTGCTTTCACCAAAAGTCGCAAAATAGGGAGATCTCCCATCAACAAAAAGGAGAAAATGGAAGAAAATGTACAAAAAATTATGGAAATGATGACAGGAGTGAGTATAAAGATAGAAGAACAATCAAGAGAACTCAGCGAAATTCATAGAGAACAAAGAGAATATAGAGAAGAAATCAGACAGTTACGACAAGAGAATGTAACATTACGAGAGGAAAACACAAAACTAAAAAAGGTAGTTTTTCAAATAGAAGAACGGCTTGAAAGTTTGGAAAATGGAAAAAGGCATAAAAATATAGTTATACAAGGCATGAACATAGATACAAATGTCCCAGAGACTCTAAAACATGAAATAAAAAATTTTATGCAGGTAGAATTAGCAGTTGATGTTCAAATAGAGAAGGTTGTGAAGCGTGAAGGTTGAAAATGTCTGTCTGGTTGAGCATGAAAAAGAAGAGGACAAAAAGTAATGTGAAACAAAAGCAAATTAAGAAACCGAAGAAAATGTCTAGTTTATATCAATGATGATCTGTCAAAGAAGGATAGAATTGTACAAAAATATGTCAGACAGAAAGCCCAAGAACTAAGACAGGAAGAGAGAAAAGTGAATTGAAAATTGAAAAGTGAAAGTGGTAGTTTAAGAAACGGTTGCTAGCCATTTCTTTTCTGTACCAGGTAGTGACTAATCTGTCATCTGGAGTGTGAATAATTCACATATCTAAAAACGGGATACTGTTCTCAACCTCCAATTCACATGTAAATTGTAGGTGAGGATCAAAGCAGTTAAAAACTGATAAAGTATCATCCGTCTTGTTCGACGGGGTTGCTAAAATCAGATCTAAAGACAGAAATCTAACTTCTTGATACTCTCATTAATAAGATCGTCTAGAACAAAGTTGACTAGAATAGGAGAAATCGTGGATCCCATAGGAGTTCCAAAAATTTGGCGATAATATTTGTAGCATATAATTTAAGTAATTGGTGTCAAAAAAATCAATTTTAATAATTCGGAAAAAGTTTCCCAAGATATCAGACTGTGGGGTTGAATTTGACTCCAATGGTTACGGAGAGAGGTTAATACACTGGAAAGTGGAAGATTTGTGAACAAGGATACTACGTCAAAACTTACTAAGACAAAGCCTCTGGGTAGTTGATAATTATTAATAAGTTCACTGAACTGGAAAGAATCTGTTATGTTGAAGTCATTGTTATAATTGTATGCTTGTGAAAGAATGTTCGTTAGAAATTGAGCTATATTTATGTTTGGAGCATTTATTGGCGATAATATGGGTCGCTTACTTAGTTGTGGTTTGTATATTTTGGGGAGACATTAAAATCTAGGAGCATAGCCATTGTGATTATGGAAGGATTTGCCTAGTTTCTCGTCAATATTTTTTTGTTTTTTAGTTCAGTGATATATCAGTTGATAGTACTTAAGGACCACCATGTATAGGTATAACGTTGACATTTCTCAGAAAACATAAATACATAAGTTAATTAAAATGTTGCCTACAATGTGAAAAAAAAATCGAAATCCAATTAAGGGTTCAGAAGAAAATTAGCTTCAAAATCATGGTACATTTGAGGTGTTGCGTTAATTTTGGAAAGTAGTATATAATTCATAATTTTGTTTATAACAGTGTTTGGAAAAAATACAAAAACAGGTCGATATTTATTTTCAAATTGTAATTTTTTGTTACTATTCAACATTTTGAAACTGCAATCGACTATTGTTAGACTATTAAGTAAAACATATATCTTAATAACGGACTTGTTTTCTCGTAAAATTAAATATTTAACTAATATCCTTTTTGTACTCTTGTTTAGATGACTGAACAACATAGATTTGGAAGCATCATTCAACCCATAACATGTCATGCTTGGAATAAAAACAGAACTCGTAAGTATATTCAAATTAATAATAAACAATAAAAAAATAGTCTACCTTACGAGTTTTATAAAAAGCGCTCATACGAGAATGTGCATTTTATCTGAAGGGTACAATCTGGGGAACATTCATAAATTACGTCGCGTCGTAGTGAAGAGAGAGGAAGGATTGTGGAGGGCATGAGTGCATATCGACATCGTTTGGTTATTTTAATTGAATTATTAATCTTAATTATTCTTGTTATGGTACCTACATTAGTAAATATAGTTTTATAGTATTTTAAAAAATCCAGAAATAACATTGAATTGTACCGGGTGGTCCAATAAGCCGATCTCTCGGCTATATATCAGAAACTATTCATGTTATAACTTTAGGAGAAAAAATTTCTTGGTAAAAGTGGCCACGAGAGATCGCTGGAAATAATTTACAAGTTTCTGAGTAAACCGCTAGGGGGCATAACCTGTGAATAAAAATTTGAAAACCAGTTTTTTGTGAAATATCCCCAATTATACCAAGTGTTAAACAAGTAAACTAGAAAGAGGCCTTAGTTCTTCACAAAGTTGTTCAAGTACTTTTTTAATTTTTTGAAATAAAGGGTGGGGGAGAGTGGGGAAGTATTTATTATATATATACCTATAACTTTGGATTGGATTAACCGATTTTAACGAAGTTAGTGTCATTGGAAAGAGTGTGTATGAATTAATTTACATCTACTATAAAATAATTGTATTTAGTTTTAATTGTCATAGGTAGAGGGTACTTTCGAATAGAAAAAATTAAAATTCGTTTTTCTTCAAAATGTTTAATAGAAACACCTATTTATTGTAAACTATAATGGAACTGGATTAAATTCGTAACAAAATGGCGCAAACCGCATGTTAATAGCTTTTGTCAAACTCGAGATATGAATAAAAACGCATAAACATAAGTAAGTATAGTATTGACTCACCCTGTATTATAAATTAAATTAAAAAATAAGTCAGTAGGCACTTTCAAATTTTTTTATAGCAAAAGAATCTTAATGTTGATACCTATTTTGACCATTGTTATTTTATATGATTAAAAATAGTTTTTTCGAAAGTGTTTTATTATAATCCGAATTGAAGATTGCACTTTTTCTCAATAGATATTAGAGTAGAGTAAATTTTTTTTTTTTTTTGTAGAGTAAATTTTTATTTGCATAAATCTTTAAACATGATTGAGCAAATATCGTCACATTATTAATTACAAATTAAAAAAAATATGTATATATATATATATTGACATCACACATTTAAAATACATTAACATTACAAATTAAATATGCTGATTAAGGAGAAGGATAGGCCAGGCACTCCGCCACAGTATAGGGCTCAATGTCAACTAGGTGTTGAAAAACCTTTCTTTTAAAAGTTCTATAGTGTGTTTCCTGTTTAATGTCAGATGGTAGACTGTTATAAAATTTAACACACGCATACAAAGGACTTCTCTCTGTTATAGACAATCTGTGAAGTGGCAAATTCAAGTTAAGGCTTCTTGTACTATATTCATGATTGGGAAGCAGGTGATAAAACAAAGAAAAATTTTTAAAAAGGAACATAATACATTCAAATATATAGATGGCTGAGAAAGTGAGTATATTGAGTGACTTGAATCGGCCTCTACACGATTCTCCCGCCTTTAGTCCTAAGATCACCCGGACTGCCTTTTTTTGGACTATAAAGACAGTTGAGCTATCTACTGCAGCACCCCAGAAGATTACTCCATATCGCATAACAGAATAAAAGTTTGCATAATATACTGATAGTAAAATCCCCTGGTCCAGATAGCTCTTTAACACTCTTAATGAGTAGCAGGCTCTATTCAGTTTTTTTGTTGTATTTTGTATTTGTTCCCCCCAATTCAGATTCTGGTCAATATGGATACCAAGAAATTTAACTGATCTAGCAGTTTCCGTGTTTTCTGATAGAAAATTAATTGTATCTGGAAACTGTTCTCGTGACTGGCTGGTTCTAAAGTGGACAAAAACTGTCTTATCAGTATTAAGCAACAACCGGTTTCCACTGAACCACTGTTCAGCCTTGCTTAGAATTTGCTCTGCCACTGTGAGGAGTGTTTCTAAAGTTTTTTCCCAGAAAAGCACATTTGAGTCATCAGCAAAATTTACAAGGTTTGAGGAACAACTAACCACCGCATTTGGAAGGTCGTTTATGTAGACCAAAAAGAGAAAAGGCCCCAGAACACTCCCCTGTGGTATACCTAATTTTAAATTGATCGGTTCAGAATAAACCTTACATCCCCTTTTCTCCAGGCATACCTTTTGCGACCTATCTGTGAGAAATGATTTTATCCATTTTAATGCTGGTCCCTGTATTCCATAAAGATGTAATTTTTGTAATAAGAGAACATGATCTAGGCTATCAAAAGCCTTAGATAGGTCCAAAAAAGCACCCAGTGTTTTCATCTTTGCCTCCAGTTTTTCTAAAATTTTTGATATAAAATCATAGGTAGCTGTCTCAACAGATCTCCCTGCGAGAAAACCATGCTGTGAACTACTAAATAAGTTGTTTGTAGTAAAAAAGTTTTGTAGTCTGAAATATATTGCTTTTTCAAATATTTTTGAGAATGATGGAAGAAGGCTTATTGGTCTATAGTTCTCCATCTTAGTAACATCACCTTTTTTATGAAGTGGCTTGACAATTGCCAGTTTTAAATTTTTAGGAAATTTACCTTGCCTGAAAGAAGCATTAACTATAAAAGAAAGAGGAAGAGAAATCTCTGATGAAACATATTTTATTAAGTTGGTTGATATTTCATCATAACCAGAGCTATGCTTGTTTTTTAAGTTATTTATTATATGACTTATTTCTTTCTCTGAAACTGGAGTTAAAAACATGCAATGATTAGTTTGTTCAATATTAATTTGAAAATTTTTTACATGCTTTATTTTCTTTACAGCTTCTGGCGCTGCATTTGCCATAAATTGATTTATTTCATTAGAAAGCACTTGAGGGTCACCCTCCAAACAGAAATTACCTTGATTTTTGGAATTACCCTTAATCTCTTTTACCAATTGCCAAGCCATTTTAGTTTTATTTTCGCTATTTTCAATTCGTTTTTTATAACAATTTTTCCGAGATTGAGTGAGTAAAGAATTGTATTTGCGTTTTTCTGTCCTATAAATATCTTTATAATCAACATTATTGGTAGACAGTGTAAACAAAACATCAAGCCTAGATTTACAATGTTTTATATCATCATTTTTAAAGTACTTTTGTGATTTTTTTTTATTTACTGTATTAATCTCTTTGAGTGGAAAACATTCTATAAAAAATTTCTTAACTATACTCATAAAAGCATCCCACTGATTATCTACTTCTAATGTCTCAAAAACAGATACCCAGTCTACATTACCTAACATGAATTTAAATAAACTTTTATTCTCATTGCTAAATATTCGTTTTTTTATTATATTTGACTCAAATTCATTTAATTCAAATTTTACCTTTTGAGCAGTATGATCAGATGTATGAGGATTGAATACAAGGGAATCAAATATGTCAAGATTTGTAAAAATATTATCTATACAGGATTTTTTGTTACCTTGTATGCGTGTATAGTCTTTGATGGAAGGTTTTATATCAAAGGAGCTCAAAAACATTTTTAATGCGTCTGGCCACCTTGCACCCTCAAGCAGCATATCTAAGTTAAAATCACCAGCCAAAAAAATTATGGAGTCCTTGTCAACTAAATCACAAAGTATTTGGTCTAATTTATTCATTAAAACTTGTGGGTCTTCTGTTCGGTAGATGGATAGGATTACAATCTTCTTCTTATTAATTCGCACCTCTGCAGCGGAACACTCAAACACAGTTCTTTCTGATAAACTAGAAATATCTTCCCGGGCTTTTGCAATAAACGTGTCTTTGATGTATACCGCACTGCCACCATGCTCCTGTGAACTGTTTCTGCAATATGAAGAGATCAGTTTAAAATTCCGCACATTGTAGTCCCGCAGTTGTTCTTCTGTTTTCCAGTGCTCAGTTAAACAAAGAGCAAAGCATTCATCATGATCTTCTAGGATAAAATTAATGGCATCAATACTTGTTTTAATTGATTGCGTGTTTAAGTGGATTACTGATAATTTCTTTTGGTGTGTGCCGTAGACTGTCTTTTGACACTGGGGTGCCTCTGTACATTCTGAAAATGGTTAAAAATTACACCATTCGGCCATAATTCTTGCTGCATTAAATCAGGTATTTTTAGTTCTGGAACAGTAATTTTAAATGAACTTTTGTACTTATCTGTCCTGGTTTTCATTTTTTCGCAGATAACATTTTCATCCAGTTTTCTTTCTTTTAGATAGTTAAGTATTTCCTGAGCCTCCGTTTTTGGATCGAAACCTGACAGGAAAATCGCCATATGTTTTGTGGCTACACGCAGGATACTTCCAGCATTCTCATTGGTTCCCTGGAGTGGATCTGGTCGTTCAATAAGTGTTGGACGAGGTGTTTTGTAAAAACCTCTTTTTTTTTGGGTTTCCCATTTATTATTTTCATCTTCAATCAGTGGATGGTTTGTATCTTTAACAGGCGTCACGGGTGCAATTGAACTGCTTGATATTCTTGGTTTAGGTGGCAGCTCAGACAAATCAACAGAACAAAGTGGCTGTTCTGTGACTACTTTAACTGGCCTTGTAGTCTCTTTCAAATCATTTTGTTCTTTTAAAACCAATGGATTGTTATTGATATTTTCAGTTTTTGCAGCATTTTTTACCTCCATGGAATTTTTTGTTAACTTTTTCTCTATGCTTTCTATTTTTTCCCATAGCAGCTTATTATTTTCCTCTAGGATTTGATTTTTACTTCTTAATTCACAAATTAGTTCATTTAACAGATGAATGATTGTATTTTCCATGCCATCTCCACTTTTTAAGTTTATATTAGAATCACAACAAATCACACGCGTTTCATCTAAAATTTGAAGTTTTCCGGCCCAATCCCGTGCCGTGCATGATTTATGGAAGGCTTTTCCACACTTCACACATATTATTGTGCTTATTTTTTTAGTTTTGCAACAAGTAAACTTGGTTTTTTCGCTCTCACTCTCGCGATCATCCTTATCGGACGCCATCTTTTTATTAGTAATCTTTTTATTGGTGCTGTTGAATATTGAATATTCAACAAAATGAAAACCATAAACCCTAGTCACGTCACTGGTAGATGGTAATTACTTATCTATCACTATCAATTTGTCCTAATTGCTTCAAGTTTTTGTTTGAAAGATAAAAACTAAAGCTATAAACTTTTCACTGCAGTTATTGCAATTTACAAACAAACAAATTGTTTTTTCACAAAAGGAAGATGATCTTCATATACCTGGTACTACCTATGCACATCTTGATATAACTTTATAATTTAATTGTTAATATTTACTTGTAAAACAACAGATTTTTTAGGAGCAATTGCTAATGACATCCTTCTAGGTTGATATTAATATTGGTAATATTAGTAATTAATTATGAGTACTAATAATCCGTGATGAGTAATCAAATGCAGAATTGTATGATATGATTGGAGTTTATTTCAAATGTCACCAAAATGCCGCCATTGCCTCACGTATATATTCTGTAAGATATCCTGACAGGAGACATTATGGCAAAGAAGTATTTGAAAGAAAGGTAAGAAGACTAAGAGAAACTGGTAGTTTTCATCGTCCTTGTTTTAAACGATGTAGTAGAGGTATGACCGAAGATAACTCAATCAATGTTCTTGCTTTAATTCATCAGAATCCACATATAAGTAGTCGGCAAATCTCTAAAGAATTAAACATACCCAAAACTACTGTTCTAAGGATTTTAAAACATCACAGGTTGGTTTTTCATATTATAAAGTGAACGTTTAGGTCAGAAACTTGGAATTCCCTTTAAACTTTAAATTCAACTGTTATTTTAATATTCCGATAAAAACGGCAACACTACGCTTTTATCCGTTTCTTAAAAATACTTATGCACGATTTATCTTGTGAAACAATTGTAGATTTTTTAAGATTTTTGAGTTTTAGTAAATATAGAGGTTTCTTTCACCAATATTTGTTGTTTTTTTTATACTGCATCCTTATCATGTAGTTCTCCACCAAGCTTTACATGAGAGAGATTTTGATGCAAGGCTGAATTACTGCAATTGGATGTTAGGTCTACTAGAAGAACAATCGCGTATCATGTCAAAGATTTTGTGAATAGACGAGGCTACGTTTAATAGTGCGGATGGTGTTAATCTGCATAATATGCATTATTGGGCTAAAGAAAATCTGCATTGGATTCATGAGGTGCAGGTTCAAGGTAGATTGAGTCTTAATGTTTGGTGTAGTATAGTTTATGGAAAGATCGTAGGTCCATATTTCTTTGATATAACTTTAAATGGCGAAAAATATTTGGATTTTCTGGAAAATTAGTTGCCTGTTTTATTTAAAGAGATTTCCATACAAACAAGAAGAGATATGATATTACAACATGACGGGTTTCCTGTGCACTTTTCCAGACGAGTTATAGATTATTTGTATGCAAGTTATCCAAATAAATGGATTGGAAGGGGAATCTCCAGACTTAACATATCTGGACTTTTATCTGTGGGGAAGATTGAAGGACTTAGTGTACCGAACTTGACCAACCACGCGAGTCGAGATGAAACAGCGCATTATAAACGCAATAAATAGTATATCAACAGCTGAGATTGAAGCAGCTGTTATGTCTACGCGCGAAAGATTACATCTTTGTGTGGACAATCATGGAAAACAATTTGAACATTTAATTGGACATTCAAGTTTTAATGATCGAGATGTTTGTATGATCTTTCACATATTTAATTTTAAGTTATAATAAAGGGTGAGTCAATATTATACTTATTTATGTTTATGCGTTTTTATTCATATCTCGAGTTCTACAAAAGCTATCAACATACGGTTTGCGCCGTTTTGTTACGACTTTAATCCAGTTCCATCATAATTTATAATAAATAGGTGTATCCATTAAACATTTTTGAAGAAAAATAAATTTTAATTTTTTCTATTCAAAAGTACCCTCTACTCATGACAATTAAAACTAAATTCAATTGTTTTATAGTAGATATAAATTAAATTATCCATACTCTTTCTAATGACACCAATTTCGTTAAAATCGGTTGATCCAAACCAAAGTTATAGGTATTTATCCACAAATACATTCCCACTCTCCCCAACCCTTTATTTGAAAAAATAAAAAAAAGTACTTGAACAACTTTGTGCCGAATTTAGGCCTCTTTCTAGTTTACTTATTTAACACTTGGTATAATTGGGCATTGAGAGAGAGAGAGAATTGAGAATTATTTTAATTTAAGTGTATATGAGGTTTTTTGTTAGCAATGTACTATATCTATTTTCAGAAATTGCTCTATCTCCAAACAATCATGAAGTACATATTTACCAGCGGAGTGCTGCTGAATGGAAACTTCTGGATACCTTGAACCAACATGACTTACGTGTAATGGGAATCGACTGGGCTCCAAATACCAATAGAATCGTAACTTGTGCTGCAGATCGCAATGCGTACGTTTGGACTCAAGATAAAGATAATAAGTGGAAGCCGACATTGGTACTGTTAAGAATAAATAGAGCAGCCACGTGTGTGAAGTGGTCTCCAGATGAAAATAAATTTGCTGTGGGATCAGGAGCTCGCTTAATCTCCGTATGTTATTTCGAGTCAGAAAATGATTGGTGGGTATCAAAGCACATCAAGAAACCTATCAGATCTACAGTGACTTGCCTGGATTGGCATCCTAACAATGTACTGCTTGCAGCCGGATCTTCTGATTTCAAAGTCAGAGTTTTTTCTGCTTACATTAAGGACATTGAAAAGACTCCCGAGCCGACTGCATGGGGTTCAAAAATGCCTCTGGGGCAGTTAATGGTTGAATTTGTTAATTCCAATGCTGGAGGAGGTTGGGTTCACAGCCTTAGTTTTTCTCCAGATGGAAACAAAATTTGTTGGGTAAGAATATTTATTAAATTTATTGTTTAACTTCTCTATAATTACTTTTTTTGAAACAATAATAATATGTACTACAATACTTGTTATACATTTTAACTGAATGACAACTATTAAAAAACTCAGTTTCTACTGTTACTTGAACTGTTAACTTTATGTGTTTAAATACATTTTCTTAATTTTTTCATGACATCCCGAACATTCTAAATTTTTAATACTTCTTCCTTTTCGTTAAGGGACTTTTTCTATATGGTTTAAATCTTACGGAACTGTTGTAACAATATGATTTGATTTTTACAAAAACGTGCGACGGCGTAGAAATAGAGCAAAGGAATCCTTTTTTTATAGTGAGGCTATATTCTAGGCTATTTATTATGTATTTTAGATAGGAACTACAATGTTAAAGGGGATTTATTGTTTCATATGGTCAATGGACACCCAAATATGAAAAAACCTCGGAGTGCTACCATATATAAAGGGGTGCGTTTTTGAGGATGTAGTGGATTTATACCTAAGGACTATGGTGTATTTGTGTGAATTATATGTACTTTTCGTATCTACACATACATCTACAGAAGTTCGAAATTAAATTTACTATCGGAATGTCACCTTTTAAAGTAAAAAAAAAAATTTAAAGTTAAAAATATATTTTTTTTTATAAAATATGTATATTCAAAAAACGAAGCAAAAAATAGGAACACACGCGATTTTTCTTTTATGCACCATAACATTTTTCCACGTGCAAACTGCACTGTACATTTTAAAAGTCATTTTAATTTTCGTCACTAGGACATTATGATAAAAAAACTATCTTAATTCTTACCGTCAAGTTGATACAAATTTTATTTAAAACATTGATTTAGCACGCGTAACATATTTAAAATCGTCGGTCGGACGCGTCAACCCGTGCTCGAATCGGTATCACTAAAGTGTTATGATCATTTCGGCCTATCCCAGCCATCGTCAGACACTTGGGCTGATACAAATCGAGCACGGGAAGATTAACAAATTTGCCTCGTAGGTCATATATTTGGCCTTTTAATATAATAAAGCGATAGCGGCTTTCGCTAAAAGATTTAATCTTTACACATTTCGCATAGCACAAAGGATACAGAAAACGATATTATCATATCGTTTCGTTCACGGCCACCAAAGTAGGGGTCGCCTTTGTAAGCTAACTACGCTGTAGTGAAGTTCTGTGAGACATTCGTTTTACTTTGGCCATATATTTGGCCTTTTAATATAATAAAGCGATAGCGGTTTTCGTTAAAAGATTTAATCTTTACATATATATAGATATATATATATATATATATATATATATATTATATATATATTATATATATATATATATATATATACATATATATATATATATATATATATATATATATATATATATATACATATATATATATATATATATATATATATATATATATATATATATATATATATATATATATACAATAAAAGAAAATTTTAAAAGAAAAACAAAAGTAAAATTGTGGCTTATTCTCAATACAAATAGTAAATTGTGGTAATAAGTCATTTCATTGATTCAGTGATTGCCGTAACTTAGTTGCTGTGTTACTGGCTTGATTTTTATTATTATTATTGAAGGATGAGCAGTATTTACTTGTTTAGTTTTTTAAATCAGTGAGGATTACAGGTTCTGAATTTCTAGGTTTCCCATGATTCTTCAATAAATGTGGCAGATGCAAGTAAGGGAAATGCTGTTGAAAAACTTCGTACCGAGTTTTTACCATTTCTTAGTTGCACTTGGATTGGCAATAAATCAGTAGTTGCTGCTGGACATAGCTGCATTCCGATTGTATATGGACTCAAAGATAGTGGCCAGTTAGCCTTTACTGCGAAGTTAGATGCTTCCCAGAAGAAGGAAAGCGGAGGATTGTCAGCCATGAGAATGTTCCATTCTTTGGACAAACAAGTAAGTATATATATATATATATATATATATATATATATATATATATATATATATATATATATATATATATATAAAAGTGAGTTGAGGTTAATTGGGTATACAGCTGAATAAAAGCCAAGTGCACTCTGTTCAACAGTTCATTATATTTCGCCAATTTTCATTGGCATCATCAGATGAAAGTTGATTGAGGTTGTGGCAATATGATTTATGTTATCATCAGAAAGGTTTGTGGTATGATGTGGATTGTAGTTTTTTTGGATATATAACATGTAGTTGTAAAAATGACAATTAAAATATTAAATGACAATATATAAATTGTATACTTTTATTCAGCTGTATACCCAATTAACCTCAACTCACTTTCATCTACCAGATCAGCTGTTATTTTAGAGGATATATATATATATATATATATATATATATATATATATGTATATAGGAAAACAGATTCTACATACTCACTTCACCTTCTAGATCATAATACTATTCTTTTAATGACGAATTTAAAATTCTTCACATTTAAAATAAAGGCCTTAAGCTATCCTTATTAGAATCTATGAAAATCAACAAATTAAAAAACACAGAGATAATTTTGAATGACCAACTTGAGACAAAGAGTTCTCCCCTCCTCAACCTATTCCAAGATTTTTCTAAATAGATCAATATATATATATATATATATATATATATATATATATATATATATATATATATATATATATATATTAGAGACATGCCATTACATTTTACTTTTTCCAAAATTATATTTTTCGTTAAATTGTCCGAATTTTAGTATTAATTGATTATATATGATTTCTTTATGTTTAGGCCAGAAGTGAAACTTCTGATACCAATTTAGACTCGATTCATCAAAACGCCATAACTTGCGTCTGCATTTACACAGGAAAGAAAGAGAAAGCTTCGAAGATTTCTACATCTGGAGCCGACGGACAGTTGGTTATTTGGGACTTGAATTCCTTGGAAAGGTCTATTCAAAATCTAATAATTGAGTAAACGAAAATGTTTCAAAAAACTACTTTGAAATCAAATTTTAATTTTGTGTCTGTTAAGTTACTGAATTCGATTAAATGGTAAAACTTTATTTTTTGTTTTAGTTATATGCTCAAATTAATATAGAACCTACAACAAAACCTAACAAATTAGAAATACTAAATAAAATCCTCTTAGTAAATTCAATTTATTGCAGTGTCCTCAATCTTACTCTAACAACAAAGATATTTTTGTAAATGACAAAAGATATTGTTTTTTTAATGGGTGCTTTATGAACATTCGGAAGTTGCTTTTCTCTGTTGATTCTTCTTTCTTTATGCTAGCTATTCAACAATCAACAGCACTCTTCCCTCCCATACCTAACGGTACATTACCACATTATACTTTGATATTACTGTTTCTGTAACCGTTCGAAAACGACGTCACGCCACCTTCCATGCCATCGATACAAGACTGGAACCCGTTACCTGAGATCCACCGAAGGGTCTAGCAAAGTCGAGAAGCAGAGCCGGCTTAGATGGAAATTCCAGCACGATTCAATCTATCTGTATAAAAGTCTATGATGACAGGTCACACTAAGTTCAGTAAACTAACGGCGCCATCTAGGAAAGAAATATGAACTGCTATATTTCAATCATATTTTGTTATTGAAACGATAAGTTTAACTAATAATACTGTATTAATTCTATGGAGGGCGGTACAATGGTCACAAGTCACAAAATTACTGTATTGCTTATAACATACAGAACACACCGCAATATTTTTTTCTACCGATTGGTATAAAAGACGTAAGTCGATACACTCTCATAAGAATTTTAGAGCAATGGATAAAAGGTACTAACTGGGAAATCATTGAATAGGGGGCGGTAAAAAAGTATTAAGTCTGACTTATGACTTTTATACCGTTCGATTTATGAACGGTTTAGTTCATTGTCATTGGGTTTAATCGGTACAAAGGACATGAGTCAGTGACTCGGTTTAAAAATATTAGGTATTCCAAGAAGATTTAACAAGTAAGTATTGTTAAGACATTCCAATGCTTGTCTAATGCAATACAATTCCGGGAACTTGGGTTTCGTTTATTTCATTCTTAGTCGCTTGACACACCATGCTTGGGGTGTAATTATGTATAACTATTGTGCAGTTAGATACACAACAATGACTAATTAAAACTTTTAATAATTTTTCTATAATAAAAGAAATTGCAATAAAGAAATGGGATTTGTTTTATTGTTGGGGGTCAAACTACTAACCAATAATAGTTAATCGCCACTGGCAACGTACTGAGAATGAAATTGTTTTAATAACCCTCAGAAAGTTTGGGAATTGACAACAATATTACGCAGTTCTCTGTTAACAGTGTGTAAGTAAAGAAATGCAGTTATGGGAAGCAGAGGTAAAAAGTTGATAGACATGGTGTTGAGGGAGACGAGTCAATCGAGATATTTACCTGATACATCACAAAATCACGAATCTGATACAGTACATTCTTCACCAGCTCCCTCCGTTGATCCCGAATTAATGGGCATTTTTGATGAATTCAGTGACAGTGATACAAGCTATGTTCCTGACGGAGATTCTGACAGTGAAGAATCACACCCAATACCAACAGCTAAGGCTTGTTCGTCTACAGAAGTGAGCCACTGTTCTACCAGTATATTAGAAAGTCCATTTATGGAAGTGGATGACTGCGTCCAGAGCTCAAGTCAAACGGACAATGATATTCATGCGGATACAATGCCATCGATCCATTCCAACGCAGAAAAAATTATCAAACCATTTGCTAGAAAAGTGCGAAAAAATAGAAAAGAATGTCTGCATAGCGGTAAAGAATTTATAACTGCAAAAGGCAAGAAAGTAAAAGCAAGGAAAATGCTAGAGTTGAAGGAATGTCGAAATAAGTGTTATCTGAAATTGAGTCCAGAAATTCGAAGTTCACTTTTCCAAGAATACTGGAGTTTGGGCTCTTATGATAGAAGAGTTACCTACATTGCGGCTCTCATCAATAGTGCACCAAAAAAAACTATTCGTTCGAGAAATTTGGATAATCCCAAAAAACGTGAAGTGACACATCAATATTTTTTTGAAATAAGTGGAAGCAGAATTTCTGTATGCAAAGCATGTTTTTGTGCAACTCTAGATGAGAAACCAAGATTTATACGTACTGTTATAAACAAAAAAAAGTCAAGTGTATCAGGCATTCCAAGCTCTGACGCAAGAGGACACAACCCACCACCACATACAAAGACGCCAGAAGAGATGGAAGGTGTTAAAAAGCATATACTTTCATTCCCATCGTACGAAAGTCATTACACTAGACGTACTAACGACAAGAAATACTTGCAATCTCATCTTAACCTACGAATTATGTACGACCTATACTGCCAAGACAAGGAAAATCCAGTTAGTCGAAAAATTTATGAGAAAACTTTCCGATCACTAAATTTATCCTTTAAAAAACCTAAACAGGATACATGCTACACATGCGATTTATTGACCATGAAAATGAAGACGGCAGTTAGTGATTCTGACAAAGCTGCCCTTACAATTCAACGCGAAGAGCATCACTCCAGTGCAGATAAGGCATATAACATGAAAAAATTCGACAAAGAAGAATCAAAAACAAGTGACGAAAAAGCATGTCATACGTTTGACCTACAGCAATGTTTACCAACACCTTTTCTTGGATCTTCTGTTGTGTTTTATAAAAGGCAGTTGTGGACATACAATCTCACTATTCATGATGGAGCTTCAGGGAAATCCAAACATTACATGTGGCATGAATGCATAGCTCGTCGCGGAGGAAATGAGATAGCGTCGTGCCTATATCACTTCTTAAAAAATCATCTATCACCTACAGTAAAGTTTGTAACGTTTTATTCCGACACCTGTGGTGGTCAGAACAAAAATTCTCATGTGTCAGCGATGTTTTTGAAATGTATAGAGGAATCCACCACTCTACAGACTATAAACCACAAGTTCTTAGTTCCGGGGCACACACATATGGAGTGTGACATAGACCATGCCCTAATAGAAAAACAAAAGAAAAAAAGTGAAATTCCAATATACCATCCACATGACTGGTTTCAGCTTGTTCGATCTACGGGGAGAAAGAACAAATTTGAGGTGTGTGAAATGAAGCAAGAAAACTTTTTTGACTTTTCCAAACTCTTCAATGACCAGCTAGTTTTGAAGAAAAAGAATGAAAATGGTTTGGCATTCAAGTGGCATGATGTGAAGTGGTTGCAATATAATGTTAACGAGCCAAGAAAAATCAAATATAAGAAAAACCTGACTGATGATACCTTTGATATGATCAACTTTAGACGCCGTGGAAAATTTTCAACTCTCTCTGTATCTCACAGATATGATTCACCACTACGTATATCTAAAGAGAAAAAGAGAGATTTAATTTCAATTATTAATTTGATACCGCCTATTTTCCACGAATTTTATAATAATATATTGACATGTGACAATATTGTAGATGAAGACCCTGATCTTCAAGATGAAACAGATGAACTTTAGTGACATGTGCGTGTGTGTTTTAGTTTTATAATTTAGTTTATCTACTTATTTCAACTATATGTAAGTACCTATAAATTTCAAATTTTTATGTTTTTCTTCTAAATGGTTTTTAATAAATGTGTATTTCTTGACTTAATGCTTTATTACCAAGCCATACAATACAACTTTGACCGGTAGAAAAGTCACAAGTCACAAAAATGTCTAAAATATTAAAATTTATCTAGGTTACATACGCAAAATTGACAAAATCTAATAGCTTTTTTTATATTAACCTTGAAAAATAATAAAATTACCTTCCACCCCCCCATCACCCCCCCCCCCCGACGGCCTCTCCATCCAACCGACACACACGCCCCCAATCCCCCATACAACCCCACACCTACACCCCCCAAACCCCCCGCAGTACCACTGCCATGCCTACCCCCATACCCCCACCCACCCCCCAACCTCACCCCCCAACCAAACCCCCCCCCATCCCGCCCACCCATACCCTTACCACATCAGCACCACCACCCACCCACCCCTGCGCCCGCCAGCCCCCCCCCCTCCCCGCTATTGCCCCCCCCCCACCCATCCGCCCCCAACTCCCCTCACCCAACCCTTCCCTCCCCACCACCATCACTGACCCCACTCCTCCCACACTTGAACCCCCCCCTCCCCCACATCACCCTCCACTCTCTGATCGCTTAAATAACAAACAAAGAATCACACTGCAGACTCACCTGACCTACCCTAAAGTAAATATCCCTCCTAACAAATCGAATTGAAAAAATAATAACCGATATCGGAACGGTGTGTTTATTTTTGGCTCTCCAAAATAGTTCAAATTAAGTGAGAACAAGTTTTCAAAATTTAACTAAAGTTATTAGTGATCAACTGAACTCACTTTTGGTAGTCTATAAGTACAGTTTTACTGTAAATTTCACCAAAAATATATAATTAGTACATATTTAACATCATTGAAAATTTTCATATCCATATTTGCTTGACGATAAACAAAAACATTTAATTACCATTGACCTGTATCTCCGGCCGGTTTTTTTCTGGCGGCGGACAGGTCCGTCTTTAGGAATGTTTAAACATCAACGAATATGTCGCAAATCAATGAAATAAATTTACAAGGCAATTCTCAAATGGATAATTCTACACAAAGAAGTTACTCTACCGCACTAACACAAAAAAAATTCCGTCAAAACGGCAAGCTATCATTTTTTATTCCATTGGAGATGCGAAAATACAAGATTACCTCCTCCCCCTGGGAGAAATCATCCATCCAAAAAATATACTATTCTGCTCTAGATTATCAAACAGTAGAATATGTTTATATTTATCATCTGAAAATATCGTAGAAAAATTCATGAATGAAAATAACGGCAACATTGAAGTTAATAACCAGATTATACAAGCTCGACGGTATATAACTCCCTCCGAAAGAATCATTCTGTCTAATGGTTGCCCATCCCTTCCTCATGATGTAATAATTAAAGAACTTGAATCCATGGGGCTTGTTATTCTATCTACAATGTCCTTTTTAAAAATTGGTGCACCGTTACCCGAGTTTA